GGGAGACGGGGGTTCTGGTCACTGGAAAATGTGGCCCAGCCCAAGGAGGCGAGGACTTTTGCTTTGCCCGGGCGGGCGTGTGTGGTAGGGAAGGGTTGGCAGGTTAGAAACATTAGCTTGCTGGTTAATTTCATGCATGACCATCCCTGCAAGAGAGCTTAGCTCCTAACAGTTGTGGGATAGTAGAGATTCATATTGGACTTTCTACAGATTGGAGTGGTTGAGTGGCCATATTATCATCTCAAGGAATTGTCTTGCCCACTTTTGTGTTTTCATACATATGTTGATGATTGCCATGGCTGGGAAGGTAGGGCTACTATAAAATGCAGCCTGTGTTGGAGTACTTCCTAAGATATTTTTCTCACAACATCTGTGTGCATACTATCTGCTTTAATTTCACTTCTCATTTTTTATTTCCAGGAGGCAGAGCAGTTTTCAGGAACAAAAGTGCTGTCAGACTTAAATTCGCATTCTTTCATTCATCATGAAAACTTTTTCAGGACTTTTGTGTTGCTGTTCTCTTTGGAAGTCTTGATGTACCTTCATGAAATGTTTGCCATGAAGGAGCACTTCTTAACATAATGTGAAGCCCTGTTCTTTGATTCTCTGGTCTCTAACTTACCAAATCAGATAGGATTTGTAAATGATCATAGATCTGTGATTGTCATCCAGCTGTAAAGAGAGGAGAGCATCGTTGTTTTCTGATATTTATGCCAAGGATTTTTTTTGAGACATTATTTTGTATCAACGATCTAATATTCTGAAACAGTCACAAGAGCAGTGCCCCTTACAAGTTACTATGCATTGCGTAAGGATAAAAACCACACAATTCTTGGCTTTCAGATTCACACTGTGAAACTGTGTGCTGAGGCGTTTAAGTTCGCTTTAGGCTCTGGTCCTAAATATCCTCATAGTCCATTCTCAGCTTCTCATGTATCATTTTTTTCCTCCAAATCTGTTTGCATACAGTGTCTAATGTGTCTAAGACAGCAGTTATTGCTGTGTCTAAAACCAGCAGTATCTTAACTGCTGGCTTTTATAATATCAATAAAAGAGCAAGAAAAAAATGTCCTGATAAAGTGCAGAATATCCAAATATTTCTTTTAAGCAGTTCACAGTTGCAATCATGAATATCAAAAGATACAGACCTATTCCATATTACTGAATTCCTGGCTTGAATTCCATCAGCAAGTATTGACAGTACTGAGGTAAAAAGATAAGCTTTACGTAGCAGCCAATGTCTCTTACATTCTGTAATCATAATATCCTTATCTCTTGTTGGAGTGACTAGATAACTTTTGCTGCTTCTTAATGAAGATGCACCATCTTTTGGGATTCTTTGCTCAGCTTAAATCCATAATATTCCAGAATTTTTGAAGAGTCTTTCTCTTTCACCAGTATGTGTGAAAGAGAAAGTATGTGTACTGTCCAGTATATGTACTCAGTTTCAGCTCTGCCATTTCAGTCTTTCTGAGTGGATGCAGTCTGTCAATAAGAATGTACGTTCAGGAATTAAGTTAAAACACCAAATCACAATTTGTTCTCCAACAAAGGATAATTCTTCTTCACCTTTTTCTGTTACGTAAAAACGGAAGCCAGTAAATATAACCGGCATATTCCTATAGAAAGGGTGTTAATCTTCATAAACATTTTCTAATATAAATTTACTCTGTATAACTTTCTTTTTCAGTTAAATATCTTGTGCTGATGAAAAAGAGGAAAACACTACTATCCAAATAAAAGAATGTAAGTAAATTGCAGGAATACCTCAGGTAATTGTTTGATATGCTTCAAATTACCTCTTCAGAATAATGCTGTCAAAGTGCAAATAATCAAGCTTGAAATAATTGAGATTAGGCTAAAAACTAAGTAATAGTTAAGTATTACTGATAATACATTAGTCTTATGTTAGTCAATTATGTAAGCCAAGTATGGCATCAGTGTTGATAGACTAAGTGAATTAAATCAGCAAGTGGACATACATACTTCTTAGCTTTCTTGGGGTATTAAACTGAAGCTGAAATCTGGGAATGTTGCAGGTGTCTGACAAAGAAAGCCTTAATGACAGATAAGTTTGGTAACCAGTAAGTTACCAAATCAACCTTTGTAAGTTTCCTAGGCAGGTGAAGGCTTTTTACAGTGGCAGTTTAAATATATACTGTGTAAATATAACCAAAGTTGTGATTAGGCTGATTATTTTTGTAGAAAGATGGCTTTGAAATACTGTTAATGCAACTACTATATGCTCTTGTTTCTTTTTCAATTCTGAGAAAAGGGAGCCAAGTGAATATATGTTTTTATTAACAGCTTTTGTGATTCACGTAAGTTGTGTACGTAGCTTGTAAACTCAATCTAGTCATGCTCCAGCGTAGCAATGAATTAATAATATGCTATGGAGTCTCTGCAGAGACATAATCCTTTGCAACTCAATAGGACTTTACCTGGGCACAGAGTTCTTCCTTCATGGACCTGTGCATAGAATTATAGACTCATTTAAGATCATCAAGTCCAATCTTTACCCCAGGACTGCCAAGTCCACCACTAAACCACGTCATGACAGAGAATATTTATAGTGAATGTTGTTATTCCCAACACACCACTGTTTGCAACTCAGAATGGAATTACCTTGTCTTGCATTTGTCACTATCATGTCTGAATGCAGTGCAGGCAAAATAAGCATGAATTTATGAATTAAGGTGACGTCACTTTCCTCAAGTAAAAAATGCTATACAGTAGCTTGGGGGATTGCATAAATCAACCTTGTCAGGTTTTGAGGCAGTACTTCACAACCCTGGGCAAGTTGTAATAATAGTTTTCATGGAAAATATACATATCTCTCAGTTCACTTTTGTGATCTGCACTGTTACCTCATTTTAACAGTTGATTCAATTATTTTATAATTCTCTCTATGCTTCTCTATGTACTTTGTTATTACGGTGTGTTCATCCCAAATGGATTTGAGATAGTCGCAGTTTCACTTACAGTGTTGTTTTTCTGACAGATGGTGTCCTCCTTACCCATTTTTAACACTTACTTTCTTCTGTGTAAATATGGCAAGCTCACTATAACCAGAACCATAATGGTTTTAAAATTCTCTTCGCATATGAAGTTAATACTTGTTTATCCTCAGTTCTGAATATTTAAACAGCACGATGCTTGAATTTTTATGAAAAAATTATTTGGAGCATCTGTAGTTCTAAAGAACTCATCATTTTATACAGAGAGCTGCTGAGCATGAATAATTTTTGAAAATAAGGATTCCTTAAGATAAGTAATTCTGCCTTTGCAGTTGAAATGAATTTTTACTCCTGGCAAGTTACTAACATTCACTGGATTTCTTAGACATAAATAAAATTCGAGGTTTAGATCAGAGGTCATCTGAAGGCAGTTTATCAGGTAATCTCGGAAATATTAGAGGAGGAAATTTCTGAGATACCAAGAATTGCTGTGCCACCTTTATGGGAGGCGTATGTAGTAAAGTATGAGTTAATTCAATGCAATCCACATTACAGGAGTTTCCTGTCTTGGAAATCACTAAGAGGTGTTCAAGGTATTCACTAAAATTAAGTATAGCAGAGCTTTTTATAACATTTTAGATTATAACTGATGGGAAAAGATCAAGATATTTCTGAGGTAGAGTGAAAATTATTTTGATGCATTTGATAAGAAATAGCCGTATGCTTACTTAACACTTACCAGCATTATTTAACTTTCTGTACTTTCTCAGTTAGTGTACTGTAAACTATGCAGTTGTAGTTTAGCAGTCTCAGTCGCTGTTAATTACTAGACTGGTAAAAAACTTTGAGATGGTGTTATTGTTAATATGTGCAATGATGTTAGCCTGGAAGAGAAGCTCATTTGCGGAATCATGGGCATGCTCTGTGCTAAGAAGCTCCAGTGAACAAGGTGCATGTGTTGGACATAGGAAGGCTGCTGTGTTATTATTCTTGTCTATCTCATCATCTTAAGCCACCTCCTATGATTTTTCCTACTTTCTGCTGAGAAACAAATAGTTCCTTAAATTTATAGCCTATTGCGTACCCAAGGATTCATTGTTCTTTAGAAAACAGCATTTCTCACTAATCATCAGTGTGTTTTGTAACCATTAGAGGAAAGCAGTAGAGATGACTAAGCTTTTCTCTTGTATATCTTTCTTTGAGCTGAAGTACTGCATTACATATATTAAGACAAAATTCCATATGACAGTTATAAAAATCTCATCATTCAGAATTTGACAGGATATCAAGTAGTGCAAAACCATTAACTAATCAGGAACAGGATAACCTCTACCAACTGTTCTGAGATGCTCTGAATCATAATATATTTAATTATTTTTACTTTTGGCAGGAGTTTGATTTTGAAAGGGTGTTCTAGTGTTAAAGCCAGACAACATTAAGAGTGATCACTAAATTCATTTGGTACTCTTGTCAGTCTCATTCCATTTCTATGTGAAATTGAAGCTTATTGTGTTAATGCCTCCACATTTATCAATCTGATATGAATAGAATTAGGTCAATATAGTTTTTATACTCTTTTTCTATTCTTCTAGTTGTCAAGATAAACACAAAAGAATAAAATGCACTATTTTTTGCCTTACAGTTTTCCTTATGGTTGCTGCTGTTTGGAATCTACAAGCCGAAGAATTAGAAGATACTATATTTAGTTGAATTGTAAATAAACAGGTCTTTTGCAATCTGGCAAAATGGCTGATAGTCCAAACTGTGATTTGAAATCTCTCAGTCCGCTTCAGCTGTTCGAAAGAGTAACTGAACAAGGAGAGAAAGTCAGAGCACTGAAAGCAGGAAAAGCACCAAAGGTATTTCCATTTCATTTTTTGAACCCATCCTTTTCCAAGTTAGGTCTGTCTTTAAGAATGCTGAAGCATATGATTGTTCTAAGATCTTTTTTGTATTGCAGTAAGAAAAAATCTTGTTAAAAAGCATTTATGTCCATTTTGTGAACTGTAGACATACCTGAAGCAAGGTAGTCTCTAGCAAGAGCAGTTTTTACTCCTGAATTAAGAAACAAAAGTCATAGGCTTAGAAATCTGCTTCAGCCAGTTGCCATGCTGTGTGACAGGATCCAAGGTATTTAGTTTTTCAAGTGAGATTTCTATCACTTGCATTTTTCCATGGTTTTAGATGTTTCATTAAAATCTTCTCCAGTTGTTTTTGTACACATTAGTAAATATGTCTTCCTGTAACTGTACTGACAGTCCCTGCTTAATCTCACTTAATTTAGTAATTTGCCATTAATTTCAAGTTCCCTATTCTGTTATCATTATGTTGGCAAAGAGTTCTGTTTTAATATGGGCTCTTTTAGTATATAGCCTGTGGGAGTAAGCCTTGAAAACTGGGAGTCAAGTAAAGTGTTTATTTCTGTTACTCTCTGTTACTTCTTGCTTGCATGAAATACTACAATATTTGTTTATTTAAAAGATCATACCATGAAAGTTGTGAAGAACTCTTTGTTCTAGTTTATCTTCAAGTTTGTCAGTTGATTTTAATGAGTAATTTTAAGTTGAGCCACTAAAATTTTAAAGTAAATTAGATAAGAAATTATATTTATGTATCTTAGTAACTTGTGCTTAAAATGTTTGTTATATCCCTGAAAAGAGGGCAAGCATTTTTTTTTTTCCTCGGGCAGAAATTGAAAAGTGACACAGTGGTGCTTTAAATATCTTGGCAGTGGTGATGCTCTAAATTCTGTCAATTAGGAAATGCTTACCTGCTACTTGCTTTTCTTTTACCTTTGGTAGTAATACTGCAAACATGTAAATAAAAGCTTAAAGTTTATGAATAATGCAGTCAAAGTCAGAGCATGGATGAAGGATTTTAAGAGATTAGGACATTAATGTAATTACCTATCTTAAGTATGTCAAGACAAACAGGTTTTTTTCCTTTATTCAGGATGAAATTGATGCAGCAGTGAGGATGCTATTATCGTTAAAACTGTCATATAAATCAGCAACAGGACAAGATTATCAGGCAGGCTTGCCCCCAAGAGATCTTGTATTAATAAACAACGGAACAACTAAAGAAGAGGATGAAGATTTTGTGGACCCCTGGACAGTGCAGACTTCAAATGCTAAAGGCGTGGATTATGATAAACTCATAGGTATAACTCTTTCTTTAGTGCTACTAAGGAATTTATGCAGAGTGATCCTAATGACCACAAATACAGCAAGGGATCATAAGAAATCCTGATCAAAACCATCATGACTAGCATGATGTCATTGTAAATCAGTTCTCTAAAGCCATGTGAAAGCCTGACAGCAATGCCCTTTTTCCCAGTAATTGTTTGTGTACATGTGTGTATGTATGACCTTTTGATCACCCTAGAATGGTGGGTTAGCCTAAGGCTTTTTACTTACTTACGCTACTAGCAGATTGGGGAATTTGGTGGGTGAGTCATTTTGCTTGTTCTAAGTGATGTGTAGGAAATTTTTCAGAGAATGCTAGCCTAGCCACTTCAAGGAGGTGAAACAGTTACTGCTCATTTTTAATAAACTTCCTCTTCTTCCTCCCCATTTTAAAAATAATAATAAAAGATATTGGCCAAGAACTAGACATCTGATAGGCCTTACCATAAAGAAAATTCTTATGCCACCTAAAATCTGTTTATTTACCACAGAAAGTTGCCAATGTGCTTGTGTTTACTCAAAAAGAATAAAAGTGCTAAAAGCACTACATAATTGAAAGGGATATTCTTCTCAAATCATTGTCCTAGATGTGCACTTAAGTGTATGTTTACACAGCAAAACAGCCTGAAGATATTTTTGGAAGAAAGGTTCTGTTAGCTAAGCACTAGACATGAACATCCATAGAATTTTTGTTTTGTTTGTTCGAGCATAAGCAGAGGGCAGAGGGGTGAGTGAGAAAGAGCTTTGTGTGCTACCATTATCAGCCATGCTGGTAATTCAGTGAGCTGAATATTGCAAGTGATAGCGGTTAAAGTTCCCAGGGATTTTTTGCAGGTTGTCTAGTCAACCCCCAGCCTCAAAGCAGAGTCAACTACAGTAAGTTGCTCAGGACCTTGTCCAGTAGGAATTCTATTATCTCCAAGGTTGGAAATCCCGTCACCTTCCTGAGCAGCCTGTTCCAGTATTTGACCATATGCACAAAATGAAGTTCTTTTGTATGTTTAAATGAAATTTCCTTTATTTCTTTATTTCAAATTGTGCGCGTTGCTTTTTGGCCTTTCACTGGGCATCACTGAGAACAGGTTGATCCTGTCTTCTTTACTCCCCACACCTCCCCTGATCACATATTTATACGTATTGATAAGATCCCTGCTGAGCCTTTTCTTACCCAAGCTCAACAATCCCAGCTCTGTCAACCTCTCCTCATACAACAGATGCTCCAAGCTCTTCATCTTCATAGTCCTTTGCTGGATTCACTTTAAGTGTCCTCTTTAAGATGGAGCCCAGAACTGGATCCAGTGCTCCAGATATGTCTCATCAGTGCTGAGTAGAGGGGAAGGATCACCTCCCTTGACATTGTGGCAGTGCTGTTCCTAACATAGCCCATAAAGCCTTTGACTTTCCAATGTCACAAAATTGCATTGTTGGTTTATGTTCAATTCCTTGTCTGTCAGGACTCCAGGACTCTAAGGTCCTTCTCTGCCAAGGTTCTTTCCAGCCAGTTGGCCCCCTGCCTGTACCAGTTTATGGCATTCCCCAAGTTCAGGACTTTGTGTTCCCTTTTGTTGAACTTCATTAAATTCTTGTCAGCGATTTCTCCAGCCTGCCGAGGTCCCTCTGAATGGCAAGACCATCTGTTGTATCAATTACTCCTCCCAGTATTGGGCAATATCCACAAACTTGCTGACGGTGTACTCTATCCCATCATCCACATCATTAATGAAGATGTTAAATAGTATTGACCTCAGTAGCCAATACTATTAGGGTACACAAATAATGTTGGGCTCCAGCTGGATTTTGTGCTGCTGGTCGCAATCCTTTGAGTCTGGCAGTTCAGCCAGTTTTCAATTCATCTTACTGTCCACTTATCTAGTCCAGACTTCATCAGTTAGCTATGAGAATGAGGTGGGAGATGGTGTCAAAAGCCTTACTAAAGTTGATATAAACAATATCCATTGGTCTTGCCCCATTTACTAGGCTAGTCATATCATCACAGAAGGCTATTAGGTTGGTCTGGCATGATTTTGCATTCGTAAGTCCGTGCTGACTACTCCCAGTCATCTTCATGTCTTTAATAATGTTTGGGAGTGGTTTCCAGGATTATTTGCTCCATCACATGCCCAGAGATTGAGGTGAGGCAGGCCAGCCTGTAGTTCTACAGTTCCTTTGTCTTGCCCTTGTTTAAGGTAGGAGTGGCATTTCCAGCCGCAGAAACTTTTCCCAGTTGCCATGACTGTTCTGTCTGTACTGGCCTGGTCGGTAAAGTTACTGTATAACAAACAGTAGGGTTTTAATTTCCTGTATGCAAATATAGCGTGGTGATGGCAAAGAGGAAAAGTACACAACAAATTTTCAGACAATGCAAGTATGCTTTTGAAAATGGTAGGTCTCGGGACTTCTTACATACAACAAGTTGAAAGCTATCTTTTGGTAAAAGCTAGAATTCTAGAGATCAAAAGCATGCTAAGAATTTTTTAAAAGCTTGTTAAGGAGTAAAGAGTATGTCCTTGTCAGAAGCTGTTTAAGAAAGCAGATTCTTAGTGGATAGAAAGCCTGAAATGTTTTGAACACCCTCATAAGAGGTAATAGATAGGAAAAAATGATCTAATTTTTTGACAGGAAAGATGAAGATGGGCAAAGAAGAGGGAATTGTGCAGCCTGTGTATGTTTAGTAAAGATATTTAGGCATTTCCAGTGTAGTGCTCTATACATCAGAGAATTTTTAATCACTTTCTATGACAATATACAAATATTTCTAGGGCGGGTAGCCCAAATTAATCTGGGGCATTCTTATGTTTTCTGTTTCTGTGAGATTAGCCTCTTACCAGCTGCTGTTGTTCTGCTGAATCAACATTTTTGTGTTCATTTGTTCTCTTTTTAGCATTCATCCAGATTATAATTAGTTTGCCATTTTTTAATGCCTTTTATTTGCTAGGAAGAAATTAATTCAGTAATTAAGATTTGCTCAGGACAAACAGATGCAATAATGCTTGGAAAACATATGAATTAAAGCAGTGGTTGCTGAACCATGTATCAGCATTTGTCTTTTTTAGTGATATTTATTTTAATGGGTCAGTATGATATCCTGCTTGATTCATCTGGAATGAATGAACAATTCTAAGCAAGAACTCATTTCCCATTGGATAATGGTATAGACACCAAGCTGATTGGTGTGGTTAACATGCCTGAGGGAAGGGATGTCATCCAGAGGGACCTGGACAAGCTCAAGAAGTGGGCCTGTGTGAACCTCATGAGGTTCAACAAGGCCAAGGTCCTGCACCTGAGTTAGGCAGCCCCCAGTATCAAGACAGGTTGGGGGATGAAGGGATTCACTGCAGCCCTGAAGAGAAGGACTTGGTGGTACTGGTGAAGGAAGTACTGTACATGAGCCAGCAATGTGTGCTCACAACCCAGAAAGCCAACCATATCCTGGACTGCATCAAAACTGTGGCCAGCAGGTCAAAGGAGGTGATTCTGCCCCTCCACTTCACTCTGATGAGACCCCACCTGCAGCCCTCAGCACAGGAAAGACACAGACCTGTTGGAGCAGGTCCAGAGAAGGGCCACAAAGATGCTCAGAGGACTGGAGCACCTCTGCTATGAAGACAGGCTGAGAGAGTTGGGGTTGTTCAGCATGGGGAAAAGAAGGCTTCAGGGAGACTATTGTGGCCTCTCAGTACTTAAAGGAGGCTTACAAGAAAGATGGGGACAAATCTTTTAGCAAGGTCTGTAGCAATACAATGGTTTTAAACTAAAAGATTTAGACTAGATATAAAGAAGAAAGACTTTACAATGAGGGTTGTGAAAACACTAGGACAGGTTGCCCAGAGAGCCACCTGTAGATGCCTCATCCCTGGAAACATTCAAGGTCAAGCTGAACAGGGCTCTGAGCAACCTAACCTAGTTGAAGATGTCCCTGCTTACTGCAGGGAGGGTTGGACTGATGACCTTTAAAGGTCCCTTCCAACCCAAACCATTCTATGATGATATTCCTTGTTTTCCCTCCCATTTAGAAATTAACTCCTTCTAATTTCAAATTTAATTACTGCATACAAAGCCTTGTATGTAGTAATGCTGTGTATAACCAGTCATTCTAGAAGAAAATTAAACGGATATAGGTGGTCTGGAATAGCAAAAATGAAATTCCTCTCTTACACTCTGTTGATCCAAGTTGATGCTCAAGTTGGATACATTACCACTCTTCTGTCAAAATTGAGTCTTTCAGTGGGGATTCCTGATTTTTGTTTGTGAAAGGTTGTTCATATAACAAAATTAAAAAACAGTTCCTTTAACAAACTTAAACACACATCCCCATTATCAGCCAGAGTGTAAGAGAGGAATTCCATGTGCTCAGGGCTTCCCTGCATCCCAGTGCCCCAGAGTACATGTTGATCTGATTCTTCTGTCCCATCACTCATAAATCCCTAGGGAGCACTGCAGTCTCAATGATTAGGATGGGCATGGTTTTAAATAGCCTTTTTTGAGATGTATGTAAAGCCTTGTTGAACTAAAAGTAGCCTCCAAGCTGTTCTTAGAGAACCTGTGCTGTAAAGGGTTCAAAGGTCTCTTTCCCTTTTCTGGGGAAGAAGTTACTCTAGTCTAGTATAATACACAAGGAGTATCTGAATATTTGGCCTTTCAAATTACACCAGTGTGCTTAATATTACTTGCTCCCTCAGCAAGTTAATTTTCTTTGTAAAATGATTTGTAGTACATTGGGTAACCAGAACAGGTAGAGAGCTCTGCCTCAGCTGGAATCAGGCTGTCTCTCTGTTGTCCAGTGGTGTAAACCATTATGCTGTCCAGCTAGGGATTGTTGTCGTGTGGTACGATGTAACATTAGAAGCCTACCTGTTCTGGTAGGAAGTTGTAGTCTTTGGAAGGACATTTTGGTTAATTACAATATTCCTGCAGGAAGGCTTTTAATATCACTGGCTTTTGACTAAAAAAAAAAAAAATTGAAAATTTAGAAACAAGAACATGCATAAGGAAGAAGTTCAAAGAAAACCTGAACCTGTGTCAGGCATTCAGTGATTTTTGTGTTTTCCACAGAGCAGAAGTAGTTCTGCAAGCCATAGTTTACTAGCTGCATAATGAATAATTTAAAATTCATTTCTTTGTTTCCAGTTTCCTTAGGAAACTGTCAAGATATTTGAAATTTATCAAGTGTCAGCAATATGTTCCTGTGGAATCCTTGTTTCCTGTTATAGTCAGGAAGACCTGAAGTGCTTCTCCCATGTGGATGTGTGTCTTATAACCATGGAATTCGCCAGCGTAGTCTCTCTTCAGTAAGAGATGGATCTAGATATTTTGTGCATATAAAATGTGTCTTTACATCCAGAGTTCTCTGTTTCTTCTCTTGGATACTTTGGCATTTCTAGTAATTAAAAGTGCAAGTTATTCTAATGTTGCATGGAGCACAATAGTAGCAAAGAGTAGATTCTTGTTTGATGTTTGGTTTTTTTAATCACATCCAAATCACAGAGCATTGACATGCTTATTAGGACCCAAGAAATGGGACTGTAGTATAGGAAGCTTTACTGAAGAACTAAAAGGCTTCCCCAGTTCAATTGGGAATAGGAAAAAATACTGTTATTTCACTCTCTCAAAACCTTTTTTGAATGAAATGACGAAATCTGAAAATACTGTTTTATTAGTCAGCTGATTTCCTAAACCACCAACTAATAACTTCTACTTGGTTGCCGTGAAGAGTATTATGCATTACCTTTTCAAGCCTCTTGAGGGGAGCAGTGTCTGTAATCATGCCCATATAAAAGCAGAATTAAGTTTACAGAAGAGTATTTGGGGTTGAAGGGCAAAAAAAACATGTGATCTGAGGGCAGAAAAATTAGACATCAAGAGAGAAACATTCAGAGCCTTCCAGATACTTTTATCCTATGGCTTAGTTAGACCAAGTTATTGACCTAGATATGTTTCTTTGTAATGTTTTTTGTGCCGAATATCAATACTACTGCTGTAAGGAGACTGCAACTGTAATCGGTTATGGATGGAGCGGTACTAAATGTTGTGAATGGATTGGGTCTCCTAGCATAGAGTTAGTACTGGGGATGGATGACTACTGGGACTTCAGGCAAGGATCAGGAAAATCCAGCCTTTTTACCTGAGACTTGAAGCAGGAGATGTTCTTTTCAATCTAGGCTGCATTGTTATGTTCTTGGTGATCCAAGATCTGGTTGTAGCTGTGCTGTGCTTTTTTTGTTTTTAATTTTTTGGTACATTTTTTTATTATAGTTCGGTTTGGCAGCAGTAAAATTGACACAGACCTCATCAATCGAATAGAAAGAGCTATTGGGCAAAAACCTCACCGCTTTCTACGTAGAGGAATCTTTTTTTCTCATAGGTGAGTTTTTCTTGGTTTAACATTCAAAGAGGTCCTATTAGGTAGATTTTCTATGAGCATTATTCGGAGGAAACCTGTGACTGGCGAAAGACAATGTTCTCCTACAGCAAGGGAAACCAACTGTCATTTGAAATGAGCAACTACTTCAGATTTCCCCTGTCAACATTTGAAACGTGTGGTTGCATCTGTTTCTGATGTGTCCTCGCTAATGCCAAATTGAAGAAATGTGCACAGAATCTTTGCTTTGTACAGGTTCCGCTTTTACTCTGTTAGCAGCCAGACAAAACCATTGTCCTAGCAGTGAACTTAAGGGCTCATATGGTGTCACTGCTGATTTCAACAAGAGTCAACATGGCCTGTGGGCATATGCATCTGTATTGCTACATAAAAAAGGCTCAGGGAATAATCTTAAGCACCAGTCTGCCAGTCATCTACACTGTTTAATTGTTAGCATACATGGGGGTTTGACCTATGGCAGCTAGCACATTTCACCTAAGTGCCTGAGCATGGTTCAGGGCATAGCCTCCACCAGAGACCATTCCAAGCTGGTAGTTTGAACCTATTTGGGAAATGATTCCAGCTCTGTTTAACTAGGCTTTAGAAATTATTATCCAATTAAGTAACTTCAAAAGTTGCACATTTCCGATTTTAATTTAAATATTCATTTTTAATTTATTTTTTCTTTATTTTCATGGAATCTGAAGGAGAAATACTTAAATTAGAAAATGAACAAACAAAACCTTATTGTTTCTACAACATTTAACATACTGTATTTTATTTATAAGTATGTTTGGCTTCAAAAGCGGACAGATTTTGAATAGAAGGTTTTTGCTGTGATGTTTCTTCCTAAAGAGCTGTATCATGTTTTCTGTTTTTTTTCTTTAGAGATATGGACCAAATCCTCGATGCTTATGAAAATAAGAAGTCCTTTTACCTTTATACAGGTAGAGGGCCATCCTCTCAGGCAATGCATGTTGGTCATCTTATCCCATTTGTGTTCACAAAGTAAGTTATTTCTACTATTTGTGTTAATCAAAACATTTTTTGGTAAGGAAATATTGGACATGGTTTATGGAACTGCTTATATGAGCTGAATATTAATGAACTTAAACAATGCAATCTTACCTTTTCATTAAAATTATCATAATCCCTGTGTTGCCATGAAGCCCTCTTCCTTGCACCCTTAGAATTTTTGTTCTTCTACAAATGAGTTTGTGGTGAGACTTAGCAACATTGCTCTATAAGGCAGTTTCTGTTCACATCAACAACTGCTTATGCATACAAAGAGGAGAAGCAGACCTGTTTATACACTTCTGTTTAAATGTATAAAAATATTTTAGCTGCATGACTTAAGCTTCGAGATAAAATCTCTGCTTTTATTAGGTGGCTGCAAGAAGTGTTTGATGTTCCCTTAGTGATACAGTTAACTGATGATGAGAAATACCTTTGGAAGGACATGACAACTGAGAAGGCATATGAATATGCTAAAGAAAATGCAAAAGACATCATTGCATGTGGTTTTGACATCAATAAAACCTTTATATTTTCTGATTTAGACTATTTGGGGTAAGTATAAATTTCTTTAGGGCACTAATGAAAAATTGCCTTTTCTCTCCAACTTTGACAGCCAGCAATGTTTTAATAAATGTATCTAAATTTGAAAGCTTCAAGACAAGTTTTACAACACTTGAAATAGAAACATAATAAATTTTTCTCCTGTCTTATATCTTATGTAGATAGTATTGTAATTCTCATGTATAATATATGAAAAAATACTTGTGTGTGCAATGCTTAAATTTAAATTATGAAAATATATTAAATTAGCTAAATTGTAAAAACATTTAAACCACCAAGAAACCTCCAGATTGATTTGTTTAACATTGTGTCAAAATATTTGTGATATGTTTACATGTTATCTGTGTTAACAAAAAGCATTTCAGAAATTTGTTGTGGTCAGTTTAATAACACAGCGTGAAAGATTATTATTTGAACTTTGAGTAAAGTTTAATGAAGATTTAAGAAAAAGAAATGGCTATTTGAATTGCCTGCTCAGAAGGAATGAGTTTTATGGTGGAGTTCAGAACCGAAGTTGTGGACTTTGTTATTCCATGTGGGGAAATAAGCTTCCCTAAAGTCTTGGTTGAGAGAATGTATGTTTTAGAGATGAACTATATAACATACAGCCCCCAGAATGTGGAGCCTAGAAGGCAGTTTTTCCTCCTTTCACTCCTGTCATCTTCTTGCCGTAGAAAAGTTGCATTAACACAGACCTGCCCTGTGGCTGAACGAAGGCAGGTCAGAACTGCTGTTTCTTTTGCTTCAGCTGCTCAGTAGAAATAGAAAAGGAAGAAGTTGCTGAGCTGTTTTTGATTTGGAAGTCCAACCAGGGAACTTAGCCTGTAGAAAACAAGAATTTGGAGGATTTGAGCTACTATTCCTTTGACAAACTGCAGTGTCCTGTATGTGACACACACTGTCGATGCCAAGCAACGCAGAAGACATGATCCATTCAGATTGCCTCAGTTCACAGAGAAGCACAGGGATCAGTAAACTTCAGGTTCTGTGAGGCATACTGGCACCATTTCCAAATCAAAGTATTTCTGGGTTAACCACCTAGTTAATTGTGACAAAAAATGTTTGCAGTAAATGTTGAGGGGAGGGAAGAATAAATTAAACTTTCAAGGAATAAAGTTCTTGTTTGTAAATAATTCTCTAATTATTATCTCAGTGGGCCACAAAATGTCTGAAACAGTGAGATTTAATCCTGCAGGTTTTCTGACATTCTCAGCTTAGAGTTTCTACCTTCACTTTTCTGCTCTTTTCATTTTATTTTTCTACTTTATTTTTCACAGGACAAGTACTGGATTCTACAAAAATGTTGTCAAAGTTCAGAAGCATGTTACATTTAACCAAGTGAAAGGAATCTTTGGCTTTACAGACAGTGACTGCATTGGTAGGAAATAATATGTGTTAGTGGAAGTGATGATTGCTTTCATTCTCTATGGCACTATTTAAGTAATAATTTAAACAGATAAGTATCATGAAATGGATAGAAAAAGCAAGACCTATGTTTCTAGTCTGTTCTAAGTTTACAGTGCGATAGCTACTTTTTCAGCCTTAGTAACAGCAAAGTACAAAACACCAATGTTGAGTGCCCAGGGTAGAGAACTGTTCTTTCCTTTTTGTTTTCTTTTTTTTTTTTTTTTTTTTGAATAATGCAGCTATAGTTTTCTCTTTTACATTAATATGCATATACATATACATATATGAAAAAAGTTAAGGAGTGCTCAAAAGCCTAATTATCAAGGTGCTGAGTAACTCTGTCTTACATTTATTTCACTGCAATTGCAGGTTTCTATCACATTGGCCAAAAAAAGTATTCTGTGTCAAATATGGCATTAAAACTTTGGTGCCCTGAGCACTAACATCATTCTTTGAGCAGTAATTATGCCAGTGACAGCTTTTCAGCCTTCACTGTAACCAAGGAACAGATTCCTGCTTGTTTTAAGCATGCTCTAATAAAAGTTGGTATTGTCATAACGACTTCATTACATGTTTGGAAAAATCTGCCCTTTGCTTTCTTTCCAAGACGATTTTGATCAGGGAAACAGCTTGGGCACCTTGTGATTAAGCACTGTATATAAAAGAAAACTAGGCATGTCTGAGATGCTTCATAAGTACAGCATGCACATAGCAATGATTCTAAGATCTTAGAGCAGAACTTGCCTAATAAGTAGCTCTGGAGTCATTCTCACAAAGAGTTAAAAAAAAAAAAAGAGCAGCTCAGGGTGATGATACAGTCAGTGGAATTTCTGGGGAGGGTAGATAGTTCAGTGATGAAGAGATTATGTGCTGATGAACCTTTTCTGAAACATTCACGACCACAGCCTCTTTTCATTAGTTTCTGTTACTTTGAAGGTTTGTTGACATCACAGAAGGTAAAGATTAAAAGATTTCCTCAGATAAGGCAAGATTGCTTGAAAAAGATAGATGTTGATCTTCAACTGAGTATCTGAATGATTTACTTGTGCATTTGACATATTTCAAAAGTTCTCACTATTTATCATTGCTTATATTTGCTTAGCTTTTCCAAACGTATTGTTTTCTAGGAAAGATCAGCTTTCCTGCTATTCAAGCCGCTCCATCCTTCAGTTCATCATTTCCACAGATCTTCAATGGCAAGGAGAACATTCAGTGTCTTATCCCATGTGCTATCGATCAGGTAAGAAAATCATATTACTTAATTTGGTTTTCATGGGTTTGTTTTTGTAATGTACTGTTCAAGCTTCGTAGTGGTACATTAAAACATCTGTAAAACATTCCTGCAAGCACCTTTCTGGGGCAAAAGCTGGAAGAGCTAGAAGGATGTTGTGCTGTGTCCTGACAAATATGAAGGCTTAAGCCAACAATCTGTATTCGTGCATTACTCATTCTTGCCAGTCTTGGATCTGTCTTGATCTCAACCCAGTTCACAGTGAGCTGACACCTGTGAAAGCAAAGACACTAAAATCTATGCAAAAGTATACTGACATGGGGCTAGGAAGAATCTTTGACCACCTCCATGGTAATTATGGCAAGATTTAATGAGCTCAACTTGCAGCACAAGAGATTTATATTGAACCATAGGGAAAAACCTTCTATCAGTAAGAATAAAGAGCCATTGAAATAGTTTGCCAGAAAGGCTGCAGAACCTTAACAATTTAGATCTATAGAGAGAGGTTGGAAGAACATCAGCTACAAATGACAGTGGTAGTGCCATTACTTTAAATAAGCATTGTTTCTAGGGATCAAAGTCTGCACTGTCTGAATATTTAGTTATTTTAGTCACAGGTACAGTGATGTAATTATACTCATCAGCTACAATATTATGTAGTAATATTACAGTTGTTTTAAGTCAGATCATCAGCACAGCACTGCCAGCTTGATCACTGATTTAGTTCAGATTCTGTGCTGCCTGTTAAAATACTTTGGGAGGAAGCTTGCATCTTAGTCTTCATCTGTCTGCTGGCATAGTAAGCATAGTTTTCACAACTATTTGAATTCATGTAAATCTTTGTCAATATGCGTATTAGTTGAGGGAATCAATGTGTACCAGAAAACTATGGAGATGAAAAGAGAATTTTGTTTGTTCGTCTGGATGAATTGGACTGGAAGTAGGTTTTGGAAGATAGTGGGGTTTGGGGTTTTTGTTTGTTTTGGAGGGGGTTTTTTGAGACCACCTGTTAAGGCATTAAGGAGTCAGCACTAATCAGCTTTTAAATTACATTTTTCAACTTTACTCTGTATTTTTATTGATGGTGGTTCTAGGACCCTTATTTTAGAATGACCCGGGATGTAGCCCCTAGGATTGGACAACCTAAACCAGCCTTACTGCATTCAGTCTTCTTCCCAGCCCTACAAGGAGCACAGACAAAAATGAGTGCTAGTGACCCAAACTCCTCCATCTTCCTCACCGATACACCCAAACAAATCAAGACAAAGGTAAGGACCTACAAAACCTGGGAGTTAAAAGCTTTATAACAAAAATGAGTGGTGGTCCTCATGATTACAGTGACAGTTTTTTAATGTTACCTTCAAACATACCTGAATCCATTTTCCCGTACATTTCATGGCAAATCCTCTTCAGGAATTGACTGAGTTACACAAATTTAACTAGCCTGTCAAATATATTCTTTTGCCTTGCCAACTAGTCCAACAATACAAACATTAGCTAGAATAATGGACAAAACATCATGTTTGTTTTTGTGATGTCCTTATAGCAGTGGTGTAAAAATAAGAGTTGTGGTGGTTCCTGCTCTAAAAATAAATATTATGTTGCCATAGTTTTGAAATCTGACAGGCCATGATGTAAATCTAATAAATAGCTCTTTCTCTTGACTGCCTCTCCATGCTGGGAGCACCAAGTGTTGCACAGTGTGAGTTACAACACAGGTCAGGCTTTTCCTGCTGCCTGGAGATCTGCTGCTCCCATGCACTCCAATTCACAAATAAATACAGCGTCAAATTTCACCTAAGAAGGGGTATTTTCTCCTATCTGAGTATATTACAAGTGCTTTTTCAAGCTCGATGGAAAATACATCCACTGCCAGATGGTTTAGTTTGGCACAAGTTCACCTGTGTTGTGATATTTAAAAAAAATAAATAAAAATCAGCCTTTGGAAAAGGATTCATAGGCATGAAAACTAGACATTAAGTAACTGTCAGAACAAGAAAGATGTGTATGTTGTTTTACTGGGTGGGCTTGGAATAGTTCTGTAATGGTTGACAAACCCATGGTGGCTCAGATTCTTCTACAGCCATGTTGTAATGGTTCATTATCTTATCTAGAAACTGATTAAACAGAACTGTTTTGAAGAATTGGAATGCTTCATGTGTTAGGATTATAATAATTCCAGTTTATTTACACAGTTACAGAGTTGCCTTTTAAATAAAACTGTAATTTCAGAATAGAGAATACATGGTTAGTGACAGTGTTGGTAATATTCTTCCATTCTTTAGCTGGCAAGTAGCTAGCAATCTGTGAAAAGATCCAAGATGCCCTATGTCCAGTTAGTAAGTCCTATTTCTGGTATATTTAAACTAGTTGGAAAAATAAAAAATAATTCTAGCTACTTGGAATGTAAAAGCTATAAAGAAAAAATTCTGAACATAATGTCAAATATTGAGTAACAGAGGACAAACTGAGATTTATTTCAGCTTCTGAAGCTCATCAGAAACAAATCTTTAGGGAAATAGAGCTTGAGTGAAAGATCAAATATTGTTATGGCCAGTAAAGTAATGATGTTCAAAACTTAACAGGTAATAGAAGATGAAAAATAACTAGATATTGAGAAAGGCTGAGAAGTTTCTGGGAAATCCAAGGAGGTAAATGGCGACATTATAATAAACTATTCTTACTGCACCTATCAGCACCAAATTACAGCTCAATTATTTCTTTGATTTCCTAGAAAGTGTTATTTAGATTCTGGCTGTACTAATTCAGGGAAAAGATCAGTTCATCGTTATAAATAAATCGATGAAACCTTCAGTCAAAGAGTAGGTGCCAGAATATGTAGAAAATTAACTTGATATTCATATAGAAAATACTTTGTATTAAACAACAATGTGTCTTCACCTGGCATATTGTGTTTAATCCCTCTCCCTTTAGTAAGAAGGCAAACTGTAGAGGTGAGTGACACAGGAAAGATTTTATACAAAGACTTTCAAAAGTCTAGTAAGGAGAGAGAGGCAAGTGCAAAGCAATATGTAAAAACTTAGTTTTACAGATACTGAGACAGATCTTCAGGTTGTCCTACAATACAAGAATAGATGTAATGTTGCAGATGGCAGTTCATTTTCTGAAGATGCTCATCAGAGCATCGTTTTTGTATGTAATTCGTTGCCACAACATCATCTGTAATGTGGTGGTTAGAAAGATTCAGAAAAGCACTAGACAGTCATACAGATAGTAAGAATGTTCAGAAATTGTAAATGTTTAACAGCTCCTAGATACCAGAACTGAAAAGAAAAAATCTACTTCATATGTATGTGTGTCTCTTGGCTGGTTGATAGTGATATCTGAAAAGATACAAGAGCCAAATGAAAACTCCTCTTATGGTTGAGAAATACTTTTTTTCTCTTCCTGGCAAGTTATTTTTGTAGGAAGATTAGCATGCTCTGAGAATTCTATACATGTGTAAAGTTTTAAAATACGCTCGTGGCTTCTGAATTTACAGGGAATGGAATTAGCAAGTGGATGTATTCACCAGTGCAGTTCATCTGCCTATAGGAAGCTATACTTAAAAAGAGAGGGGGGAGAGGAAGGAAGCATTCAATTTTCAGACTGAACAATTGGGCATTTGTCTGATTTTAGCCATCCCAGCCAGACTTGTAATCTTTAACTTTGCTTTGTCTTGTTTTCCTTTCACCTGAAAAGAGGAGGAGCCAAGGTTCTCGCTAGGATTTCTTCAAAATTCTCCATGCCTTATTCACCTCTTTCAAAATTAATTTCTTGATGAAGTGAATATCTTAGTTTTCCTTGCATGAAGTACATTTCCTGTAAGCACAAATTCTGCCCAAGAGACAACTACTTCAGCAAAAGGGACTTAAAACTTTTTTGATTGAATCTTGAGTGGATTATTCTTAATTTTGCTTCATTTTCATTCTGACTTTGCAGTCTGAGGAACATGTGTATAGACATTTTCTCTTCGGATTCTAATGATCTTTTGCCTCCCTGCTTTGGTCCTGAGGCTCTGCATTAACTTGCACCACCCTTCACCCTTCAGCTTGTCCTCAGTATAGAATTTTGAGGATCATGATACACCTCTGTTTACAATAGAGCAGTGCAGAATTTAGTAGAAACCATAAAATCTTTAAAATTTCTAGAAACCATAAAATCTTTGTGTTGTTTCAGATTAACAAGCATGCCTTCTCAGGAGGCAGAGATACTATTGAAGAGCATAGGAAGTATGGAGGTAACTGTGATGTTGACGTGTCTTTTATGTACCTGACGTTCTTCCTAGAAGATGATGACAGGCTTGAACAACTGAAGCAGGTAAGTAACCAAGTTGAAGATAGTGTTATTCATTCCTTATTGTAAGGACAAAGCCGTAACCATGTCCTCCTATGAACCTACTGCAGGAAGATAACTGTGGTGTTACTCTTGCACTCTCCCTCCCTTGCAGTCTCAATATCTCTGTATTTGTTTGCAATGTTCTTTATCACAGGCCAATCTATCTCTTCTAATAAATAAATAAATAAATGATATAAGCCCCTCATATTTTCATAAGGATCTCCAACACTGTGTAGAACATCTCCCCTACCTTTCACATCTCCCCTACCTTTCAAATGAAGCCACCTTAGGATTAGTGTTGTTTTAATTGTGTAATACACCCTGCCTGTTCCTTATGTGCAAGGTATCGATATACGCTGCAAAACTACAAAAGCTCACATCTAAACTTGCTAGGGTTTTGGGTGTTTTCTTATCACAAGAAATGTAATAGCTATGAGGAATTGATTCACTGTTCCCAAGCAAAAAATGCTTCATGTAAGTGGCATTTTTCTTAAATCTATCTGGCAGACTTCTGACCCCAGGGGTTGGTAGCAAGTCATTATACTTCCTTCAGCTATATGGTTGTCATCAGTACTAGGCAATAAGCATTCTCTGGAAGGCAGTAGCCACAGCTGAAATTACCCATGTCACATTGGCTTCATAGAATCACAGAATGTGTTAGAAGGGACCTTAAAGATGATCTAGTTCCAACCTACCTGCCACAGGCAGGGACACCTTCCACTAGACTAGGTTGCTCAAAGGTTTGTCAGCTTTCTCCTTCTGGGAACAGCTGTGAGAAAGTCAACAGCTGCAGATTCTTTTCCAGCCCTCTGGTATATTTATTTTATTTTATATAAATCCCACACAAGAGCGGGGTTGGATAGGTGCTAATCCCTATGTAGATCGTCATAAATCCTTATGGAAATCTGGAGTGCATTTGACGTAATGAACTGTTTGCCATTAGTCTCCAGGCACTGCAACATTATCAGCCTAACTGCTACAGAGCACAAAGTCTAGACCACCACTAGCAGCTTGCTGCAATGTTGCCCCAGAACCAGATTAGAAAACATGAAGTCACTGCTTATACTGGCATTAGTGGAGCTGTTTCAGGTATGGTACCAGAGGAAGAAGCTTCCAGAGAAAGCAATATTGATGTTTTTATAACAAACAAAACCCAAAACCACCTCCCAAAACCCACCACTGAAATTACAATTCAGCTCATTCTTGTTAACATATTTTGCTGTTGCTGAGTGAGAGCAGCAGCAACAATTACAGCTTGAATTGGTATTACAAATGGCTTGATGAAGGTAAGATTGCATTTCAAATCATAGCTGAACTGCCCCAGCCAAGGTTGACCAGGGCTGAACCTGTCAACAGTTAGCCTGTGCTTATAGCTAAGTATATTCCCAGTATCACAGTAACTGAATGAATTACCAGCTGTGAACATGACTACTAGTGTGAACACAGATTCTGAGTGTCTTTGCTATAAAAAGGATATTTTAATCAAATCTCATTTCTTAGTCAAATGCAGGGGGGGG